TTCCATTATAGAACCCTAACAATTGTGTGTGATATTCTTTTATCAGATTGCATAAATATTTCGGAACATAGATCATGACTTACTAATATAAATTGGTTGGTTTCCACAAGCTATAGAAATAATTTATTCGAGCTGTCACCAAAGATGTCAACGGATTTCTATGACTAAATTAACTTAAACACTGTTTAAACACTGATGTTCTATTAATACTATTCTATTTATACTCTGACACTGACTTTAAACTAAATGGAACCCACAATTTCGTACGATCTTGAATTAAATTTTTCGTAAGTTGTTATTTATATGGATTAGTTTAAGAAACTTCTTCTTCTTTTGCTAAAATTTGTTATCATTAATAACAGTTCTACGTTAAGTGTTATTATAATGTTTGCAACTACGCCCTTTTTCAATTTTAAATAATTGATGGAAGTGTTAGTCATCTTACATTGCCCTATATTGCCATAGAAAATTTACAAATTTCACCTATATAATCTCAATAAATCCATTTATTAAGTCAAATCATTTTTTTCTAAAATCTTTAACACTGAACAACACCAAACTTCGGTTACTTTTACCTGTAAATTATAAAAAAAGAAACTCGAAGATATATAAAATATTTATAAAGTAATTATAAATAAATAAATTCGGAGATACACAGAACATTTAGAAATAAATTATAGATGAAAAAAACTTTGAGATACATAGAACTTTTAGAGGTATATAGATCATTTAGAAAGTAGCTACGACTAAAACAACTCGAAGGTTTAGAAAAATTTTAGAAAGTAATTATTAATAGCATGCTAAAGAAAACTTCCTCGTAATAAAGTTAAGTTTAAAGGCCTTCGCTAATACAAGTAACTATTAAAATAACAGAATGAAACTTATATATCTAAATGCAAAGACTAACAATAGCCTGGCATGGTTCTGCTTACTGCTAAGTAGTAATACAGGGCTATCCACTTTGTAGTATCAAAAGTAAGTGAAAAAAACAAACTGGGGTTTAAGAATTTTAGAACATCTAACAATATAAAATCCTCTACATCGTCAACTTGTAGAGGACCATAAATATTACAAAGAACATTTTTCTTGAAAACTTTTAGTGCTGCTTAATCATTCTGTGATAGAATCTATACACAGAAAATTAATAGACTTAGTATTTAGAAAACTGAGTTCAACTAAGTCAGTAGTAATTATTCTTGTGTTCATCTTTGCTACTTATATTGATTTTGATACTATTAGCTGGTACTTTAACTTCTTTTTATTATATGTAATACTCATATAATAATATAATATGACTTACATAATTTATATCTTCTGATATTAGGAGGTCCTCAACGGTCGACATTCTGGCATTCATTCGGAAGGCGGAATGTCTTCTGTTCGGTTAGGGTCTATTGCAGCACGAAAGATCAACCATAGGTGCAGTGCTCCGCTCTGTTGGGACCTGGTGTCCCATTTATTCCTATTTCTACATAATTTATATAGCTATGTTGGGCACTGAAGGCTTGACACTGTGGCTGATATGGACTTAATTAAATAACTCAATTTATATGCGGTGTGACATTTTCAAAGTATTTCAATGACTTAATTGCTTTAATAAATTTTGTAAAGAATTTTTAATACTTCTTCTGTGACATCAATTAACTCCCTCATCCTAAAAATTCTCAAATACTTTTATAAAAGCAGAACCATTAAAAAAAGTCACTGCAAAGTTCATAGACAAAACGAAATGCATACGTCACAAGCAAAAATTAATGTCGTTAAAAAAAAAATTACAATAGACAGACACAAAACGATAAAATAAAAATAAAACAAATCTCACCCACAACAGCAAAAAATAACAACAACAACAAGACATACTACAGCGCAATGTGCTTTTATAGTTAACCTTCACCTCAATTCTATGCAAATAACAATGTAAGCAACAACAACTACAACAACACCAACAACACCGAACAGTAGTTACAGAAATTACAGCAACAAAAATAATAAGAAATGTTTGCTTATGACTATATAAGTTCAATAAACATTTTAACATCTACATATTGATATATGTATGCATGTGAGCTTGTGTGTGTATGTCCGTATGTCTGTATAAGTAGATGTCTATATGAGAAACATATAAACACAATTACACGTACCCGCTGAGCATTGCATTTTTGTTAGTCGTTCTTTGCTTAAATAATGCTTTTTTAAAGCATGTAGGCCATAAGCAAGCACATATACACACACACACACCACAGACTACACCACAACCGTATTGCATATTACATGGTTGTATTCTGTGCAGAAAATGATGACGTTACAAATGTGACCCTGTTTGCATGCCGTAATAGTATGTGCAGAGTTGTTATGTTTGGTGTTTGTGGTGTGCGTGGATTATGATGTCATCATTTGTGCAATGCAAACAGCATTAAAATGTAAACTGTCTTAAAATTTTCCTTTTTTTTACTGTGTATGAATCTATGCAATATAAGTGGGCTTAGCTGAAGTACAGTGAAAAAGGATATTAACAAAATGTAATAAATATGTTAGACGGACTCAAATAGCAAACAAAAGACAAGGACAAAAATTTATTTAATTTATTGAAATTTGACTGACCATACAACGATGTTTTCAGTATTGCCAAATACTCATCGTTAGTGGTTTTTGAAAATATTCAAATTTCTTAATTAGTTTATGGTCCCTATATAATTTATTTGGACTGCAAGCGTAAAGACGCATCACTCTTGATAAGAAAAAATTAACACTAAAAATTAAAAACTTTGTATCCAAGTTTTTGAAATATACGACATGGTTGTGTTCCACTGTGTTCTCAGATAAATTATCCAATATTTATTATACAATAAAACTCCACAAGGAAAGAGATTGAAATATTCCAGAAGTGAAGCTGGAGAAGCAGTCTTAAAACTCCTGCAGGAAAAAGATTAAAATATTCCAGAAGTGAGTATAATGAGAGAATCATAAGATTCATTTGCGACGCCCCATCAATGATGCAAATCAATTACTACGATCGTCATGGCCCACAGTTTTCTCTCTTCTGACCAATTGAGGTTGACCCCTTTAATGGGAGTATCATGGTGGCTGTGATGAAAATCTGAAGTTAAACGGGTAGAACAACAAACAACATCAAAAGTGTTAGATAGGTGTTGCTGGCTATGTAACACCTTAAGTGCCTAGAGTTTCGAAAAAAGAAACTATATCCAGACGTATAGCTTAAATTGGTACCAACTGAATTCCCGCATTTTTTGTTAGCATTACGCTGCTTACATTATAGGTGTTAATAGCACCGTGTGTTGAACCATAATGCAGGTAAGCGCATAATAAAACTCTGAACTCTGTACACTGCTTCTCTTGAAAAGATACTTCGTGATCTTAATTTGAATATGAGTACGATGGTCACTATTTCTATTTTGAGCCTGATAATGAAAAAATACTAACTTCTTGTTGAAAATGGCTTAATTGTTTCGCGAAATATTCTTCTCTATAATTAATATACTTTTGCATGCGTTCGAACCATTTGTCAAAGCTTTTTTTCCAATCTTCTTCAGACACCTCCAAAACACCTCCGTAATTTTTAAATACAACAACGTCTTCGTAATTGCTTCCGCCGACAAAAATCGTTATTCACGCAATTTATTCCAGACATTCGGGAACAAGAAGTCATTGGGCGCCAAATCAGGACTGTACGGCGCATGACCCATCAATTTAATGCATTATAGATATCAGATTTTGCACAGCATCAATATTTTCTAACACAACAACTGAACAACTGATTTTGGACAAATGAGATTATTGAAAACTACCAGGAATTAGGAACTAATTTAGTTACTTTTACCAGATCTTCGTCTCTAAAGTTAGAGTGAACCATTTCCTAAAATTCTCTAATAGAACACATATTTTTAAAGTGTGTACTATTATAAACTGCATCTGTCGGATCTATTAGTTGTCAATGACAACAAGCACTATATACCTGTCTTGCTGGAATAATCTGTAAAGCATATATACACCTAATTTGCTGTAGTGAAATGAGAAAATAGGGCGAGAACCTTTTTAAAATGTGTGACCAAGATTAATGAACCATTACCACATGAATTTCCATTTGGTTTTCATAACATACATTTAAAAGTGATGATTGCTCCGTTCGCATCATCTACATATGCTTGTGACGTATTATTGTATTAGTAAGTCATCATACTAATACGTCATTATTGTATCATATTGAATGTCTATTTTTTTTGTAGATATAGAAAATGCTTAAAATTGTGGTCCTAACACGATTATCAACTTCTCATAGTTTGAGATTATCAAGAATTAGATTTTGTGATTAAACAGTATATAAACGTAGGAGTTGTTTCAAAGTCTCCTCCGACCTAGTTATAACAATACCTAAAATAATAGTAATGAATTTCATTTTATTGCAAAAACATAATTAACATTTTTTTCTTAGTTAGTAGAAATCTTGGCTTCCACTAATAACAATCGACTTGTAATCATCATTACAAAACTTACGTCAAAAAAACTGAGTTTCTTTGAAACGAATCTATTGGGGGTTAGCATGTACCACATTTGGCGCTTTGGCTCAAATGTGGAATGCTGTTCTTTAACAACTCCTTTAACAGATGAGACTGATTTGGAGTATGCTGAGGTGATATATTATCCTTTCCGAATTCCTTTTTACAATGTTCTCAACGTTCTTATTATGTTTCTTATTTCTTCGTATTACTTCATCCTTTTTTTTTTATATAAACCATATTCAAGAGCCAGAATAGTTCTTGAGTTCAACGGAAGTCAAACAAAATACATAAAGAGAAATTTTTACAAAATACCATATCCGCGAGAAGGCTGAAGACTCTGAAGACTCGTGGGTCTTAAAATATATATATTTACTTATATAAACATATATGTATTTGCAATATCTATATAAATCAAATTTTTGTTATTATTTTTTATTATATACAATTACATATTTTATTACAAAAATTACTTTTTATTTTCAGTCTACCTATACCATGGTTACTGTTTGGCATATTCTATAGTGCACCAGTCGAGGTAAATTCTGTGGGCATGGTCTGCTCTATAACGATTCTCTTCATGATGTTGGTATTTGTGGTTATGTCGATTGCGTGTTTCCGTTGGCGCATGAATAAAGGACTCGGTTTTACAATGTTTTTGTTGTATTTCGTTTTTGTTGCTGTTTCACTAATGTTTGAATATGATAAAATAAGTTGTCCAGTGTAAAATGATCAACAAAATTTAACATTAACAAAACACGTAATCAAATGATAAAAAAAACAAAAATTAATTATATAACTTATATACAACACAAACAAAAAAATAAATTTCAAAATATATATATATTAGCTATATGTACTTAAGAAAAACTATGTAACGAAGCCCATATTCTCAAAGCAACAAGAATTAAACATTTAATAAACAATATATATATATAAATGTTGTATACATATATATATAAATATGATATACATATATATATACATATGATATACATATAAATATACATATGATATATATATATATATATATAGTATATTCAAGTATACAAACTTTAAAAATAAATATAAAAGCGACAGCAAAACTATAGAAGAAAAAAATGTTATAAATTAATTTAGATAATGCGAAATTATAAATAAATATTAAAATAAATTAATACATAATATTTAAATATATATATATATATATATACATATATATATATATCTATATATGAAACAAAATTAATTGAAGAGCATAGGAAAGCGTTAAAGTAGTCTGCGCTGTTTTTTATATACGGAATGTTATATTTTTCTTCAAGAATTTATAGGAACAACAACAACAACAAAAACAAAAACAACAACAGCAAAAGCAAATAATATTATTATGCTATATGCGTCTTTCTATTTTGAACTATCTACCTAACTCTATCTAAAACTCTATCTACTTTACTTTTCCCTCAAATTCTTTATATTAGATCCTTTTTCTGTAAGCGAAATGATAAAATTTTACTAAATTTAAATTGTTATTGTTATTATTCATAAACTTTAATGCTTGTAAAATTTAGTTTTGTTAAAAGTTATAAACGAAAACATTTAAAAAATTATTAAAATATATTAAATTATTCAAATGAAGTAAAATGCAAATTGTTATATGAGAATTATGTAGAAAAGATATAAGTGATATATCATTGATACGATTTTTGTTAAGTTACTTAATTCATACAATTTGTTAATAATTTAAATTATTTAAATTTTTTTTTATCATCAAAATATTATGTTTTAATAAACGTTTTATTTTTACATTATCTTTATTAAAAATTTAATTTTTTTTTTTAATATTGCATTTCAAATATTCAAGATATTGTTTATTTGTTGATAATCTCTTTATTTATTGTTTTTCTATATTATATTTATTTATTTAAATATTTTACTTTTTTATAAAAATATTTAATTTAAATAAACTTTTTATTTTTATTTTTTTATTATCTTTATTGAAAATTTAATTTTTTTTTTAATATTGCATTTCAAATATTCAAGATATCATTTATTTTTTGATAATCTTTTTATTTATTGATTCTCTAAATTATATATATTTATTTAACAATTTTACTTTTTTGTTGCAAATTCAATTTATATATGTGAGTTTATAATAATGTGAGTTTAAACAATTCAATACTCAATATCTGTAGATTATAATCTATAAATCTATAATTATGATTTCTACGATATTGCTCCTAATTGATACAATTGATTATCAATATTTCAATGAAAGGTTTAATTATATTATAATTTGCATAAATGAAAATCATGAAAATTAATTACCTTATAATGGAACCTAATTACTTTAAATTTAAACGCTACTTTAATTTATAAATCAAAACAAAAATTAAACTAAATTCTTAAATAAATTGTAGTCTCAACTTATAAAAACAGTCTTGTTTATTGGCATTTAAATTTTAACTATTTTTAATTTAGATATAAAAAAAACTATAAAACTCTAAAAAAACTCTAAAACTCTGATATAACTCAAAGCAAAAATATAACTAAAATTACTTTAACATAAAATTTTCCTTCCCAATAAACGATATACATAATATTATTAATTATTAAAACAAATTATGAATGAAATTTAATTTAAGCAATTAAAAGTGCAACAAGTAAAAATATTGTACAAAAATAAGACAACAAAAAAGTTTATAAAATTTAACAATAAACAATAGTTTAAAATAATTAAATAAATATTTAAAATAAGCATTTTTAATTAAAAGAAAACCAAAAAAATAATGTTAATGTAAACATAATACAAACCTAAAGCAATAATATTATAAATTTATAAACACAAAAGTCTAAGGGAAAATTATGAACTAACTTATCTCTATTAATATAAAATATAAAAATATATATAAAAATATATAAAAATATATGCAAATATGTATGAAATAATTACATAAACAAGTATATATTTAAAATTACATGAAATATAATATGAAAAAACATATGTATTACTACATTTTAAAGAACCGCAAAATTTTACTTAAGCCTAAAAGTCTAGTAAATTTTCATTAAATTCAAATACATCTACTCAATTAAAAACATTTTGTTAAGCAACCTTTTTCGAATTATAAAAAAATATATATACACATATATATAAATATATATTATATAAAAAATATATATGAAATACTCTTCCATAAATTTATTTACCAAAAAAAAAAAAAATTAATAAAACATACACATACATATTAATCACATACCCATTTTAAACATATCTCCCTCTATTCCTCCCCTACTCATGTCCTTGAAACACTGGGAAGTGAAACGAAATATAAAAAAACGAAACGATATTATTCGTATGTTGAAATTTATAAAATATATATATATATATATATATAAAATTAATAGAAAAATTATGAAAATTGAAATGAATTGAAAAGAAATGCTTTAAACCTAGTGAATTAAAACTTAAGAGAGAAAGGTTAATATATATAACAAAAAACAAAAAACAAAAATTATACTAATATTTATATATATATAAAAAAAAACACAAAATATATTAACAAATTGTTATGTTTATAATAAAGTTTTAAAGTTGAATAAATGCATAAAAATTGTTGATAAATTAGTCAGTTCATATGAAAATATTTAAAAATAAAAAATTATTATATATATTAGAGAAATGAGAACCATAAAAAATGAACTTAAATAATAACAGAAATATTATAAAAGAAAATTTTAAAAATATTATTTAAATTTGAGATTATTATTATTATTATTATTATTAATAAAATAATTGTTTGAAATTAAAACAAAACAAAACAAACAAAGTGATTTGTGCTGATTTATTTTTTATAATTTTGTTTTTAACACATATAAGTTAGAAACTTTTTAAAAAAAACTCTATGAAAAAATAATTGGCAAAGCATTTTAGTTCGAAATTTCTCTTTTAATTAATTTTTTTTTTTTTTTTTTTTTTTTTGTAAAAAAAATTTCGGCATTTAAGCAAGTCACATAAATAATAATGACATTGGTAAAGAAAATTATATATATGACATCTTTGGGAGGAAAAAAAAAATTTCAACATTGCTGAGAATTGTAACTAAACAAGAGAATACGCAGGGCAAGAAACCGCACGATAGCTAAAGTGATGCAAATTCCACCTGCTCGTCCTAGCATTGGAAGTGCTTGCTAATATTGGAACGCAGAATTTTTATTAGTAAGTTTTTTTAATTGGGCGTTACGTTTCAATGTTCAATGTTGTGACATATGTTTTTCTTGATGTGTCTTTATCTGCTCTTCTCTGTGTAACTTATTCATCATATCTCTGTTGTTATTTCATTATATTTCTTCAAATTTTTATATGTTCTTTGTATATGTATATGTCTATTTTTTTCATTACATTAATTAACAACTTTTTCTACAATTTCAAGTTTATTCAGTTTATATCCTCTCCATTTATTAGTATCTGTATCTGTTTTTTGTTTTTATTCTTTTCTTTATTCATTATTTATTTTTTATTTATTTTTATTTCTCTATTTATTTCTCGTTTATATATAGTCATACATTTTTATTCTTTTTCCACTTCATTATTTAACAACTTTCTACACTATTTTCATTTTATTCGATTTATATTCTCTTCATCTATTACCCATGTTTTTTTATTCATATATATTCTTTATTTCTTTTTTTTATTCCCAATTTTATATTATCCGAGATATATTTATATATATTTTATATATTCTAGTCCTCCACTCTTTATCATTTTTAACCACATTATTTAACAACTTTCTACACCATTTTCATTTTATTCTATATATATTCTCTTCATCCATTATCTACGTTTTTTATTCATATATATTCTTTATTTCTTTTTTTTATTCCCAATTTTATATTATCCGAAATACATTTATATATATTTTATATATTCTAGTCCTCCATTCTTTATCATTTTACACCACATTATTTAACAAGTTTCTACACCATTTTCTTTTTATTCTATATATATTCTCTTCATACATTATCTACGTTTTTAGTCATATATATTCTTTACTTATTTTTTTTATTCTCAATTTTATATAATCCGAAATATATTTATATATATTTTATATTATCTAGTCCTCCATTCTTCATCTTTTTCCACCACATTATTTAACAACTTTCTACACTATTTTCATTTGCTTCTATTTATATTCTCTTCATACATTATCTACGTTTTTTATTCATATATATCATTTTTCATTTTTTTCTTTTTATTCCATTATATATCGACTAAGTTTTATAAGTTTCAATTTATATACTTTTTTTTACACACTTTTTGTCCTCCTCTATTCACCCATTCCACTTTCTAAACTATTTTAATTTTATTCGTTTTATATTCTCTTCATACACTACAACATTTTTAATAATTATTTTTTTTTTTTGCTCGTTTTCTGTACTGTACTATGTTTTAGTTTTATATGTATTGTGACCAAAAATTTTTATTATATTAAATCATTATATGCAAATGTAATATAAGAATTATCTGATACATATTATTCCTCGTTTTTAATCCAATTATATGTTACAAATCTGCAGGGCAGACTTTAAGATTGCTAAAATAGGAAACATATATATTTTATATTGTATTTTAATTGTCTGTCTTAATGAAATATTTTTAGAAGCTGTTTAAACTCCTAACAATATGCAAAATAATTGAATATAAATCTACCAACTAAATTTAGTTCCATACATTTATGATTAAAAAAAAAACAAATTTTATATAGTTTTTCGAAACGCTGCCTCAAACATTTTTTTTAATTTCGTCTGTGAAAGAATAAATTACCTCAACGATTCTCCGCTTCAGGTATCAAACAGATATAGCCCAGAAATATTTTACAAAAATGTCATAGAAACAGCACATTTATAGACCGTGTTAAAAGAAATCATTTTATCTAGAATCCATTCATTCCGATTAGGTATAAGAAATTCAAACCACAGTTTGGGGTCTGAGTTAAAGCAAATGTTGTTATTTGAAACATAGACTCGCATATTCTGCTTCAATATGACAGCGTATCATATGTTAATTCCAGACCAGCGGATGAGAGTATTCAGTCTGGTTGACACTAACTCAGCTTACTGTCAGAACCCGAGAAGGCAGCCAAAAAAGCAAAGCGTAAAAAAATCTTTGCTGAGTTGGAATGTGGAGGCCATCCTACTTATTTTATCGAGCAGTTTTATATATCTCGCCTTTATATTATATATTATTTTGTCGCCAACAAAATACAGTCCCGTAAAGAAGGAATGATAGTTGTATTAGGATCAGAGTATAATTTCAGTTTGGAAAAAGGAAAATATACAACAAGCCAACAATAATACACCACAAAAGTAAAATCAAATATCTTGCGAAATATATTAACTATATATTATTTTGAATTTGTACAAACTTATTATTTACTTCGCTTCCAAAAAGTATACAAGCAAATCAACTTTAATGATTTGTAGTGAATATATTTGCAAAATATGGATATGATATAATACATCTATGGCAAATCATTAAATTCCTTCACCGATTCCGTTTTTATCTCTTTACTTCATTTTATCGTAGCATCCTTACTTACTAAAGTCTTTCGTTTGTGTACATTCTTCGCAATATTTGACCCACGTTACCACAATATGTAGTTAATCTATTCCGATTCCCTTTTGAGCTTCAACAGATTTCAATAGATTTCAGCATTATTTTTTTTAATGTTATGAAGTTAAAGTTAACAAATGTTGGCATTCCGTGAAGAACATTTTCAGTTGCCCTCAACATTCTATTTATGTACTTATCCTTTTTTCTATAGAGAGTTCGTACATCATACTCTCAAAATTGTCCATCAATCGACCTTTGCTCCTTTAGTGTTGTGCCTTTCTTGTAAACTTAATAAAATATGCTTTGATTATAGTCTTCTTTCTGGAAGATATATAATTTTAAACTAAGAACGAAAGTGACAAATATTTCCCTATACAATAAATATATTTATAGCATTAATTACCAAAAATAATTGCAACCAGTTGGCTTTGACAGACACATATTACTTACAATATTTTATATTTCTAAAAAATTTTATCAATATTTGCGAGTACATTTCACAAATGATGCACTCATTTGTGCTGTTGCTGTAAGGTTAGAATCAATACTGAATGCTCCATTGAGGTCTATCACATTAAATATTTCTCCAAACAACGTTTTATCCATGATGTATCATTTTATCAAGTAGTCACCAATTTAGTTCCTCTTTATTGATAATTTAATCCATGAAAATATAATTTTTCTGAAAATATAACATCTAACACAGTCTCTCTAAAACCAAAACCCTAGCAGAAAAGCCTAAAAAAATTGGATAAAATAAACAACACCAAAAAATCCATTTTTCTTAAGAAAATGTAGCACATTATTTAGCGCCCAGAAAAAAATTGTTTATTGTATTGTTTACCTTTTGTATGAATCCATATGTTTCAAATCTAAAGAAAATTTTTACAATATATATTACTTTCAAAATGAATTTACACTTAAGTTTTAATTATTAGAAGAAAATAAAAGCACTAAATTCGCTTCCTACCAATCGTACGGCTCTCAGGTCATGACTTCAAAAATAATTATTTAAGCTGACAAAACAAATTTATTGTAAAACTAAATAGTGACCTCACATCCAATCTCAACATTTTCAAACTTTAACTAAATATCAAAACATAGTATGTTTTGATTTTATTTATCTAACGTTAATATACTTGTCAAATAGTTTTATTTTATATTCTATAAAAAAAATTTCTATTCGAAATAGATAACGTTCATTCCGTCCCACTTTTTGGATCAATAAATTATATTTTATATTCATGTGGAGTTCACATGTTTCACATGTTTCACATGTAGATTAAATTTTATTAGTGGTCCTTATATTTTGATGCTCATTATACGAAAATGGCTAAGGCAGGAAAAAAGGTTTCTGACCAGATATCGGAAGCAGCTCAGGTCGCGGATGTGATTGGCACTCCCATACAATTTTCACAGAAATGCAAGAGAATTATAGAAGCAATAATAAGTGACTTGAATGTGTGTGATATGAAATGGAATTTATTCGTAACCGCGGTACAGAACATTGACAATTATAAAAGAATGTTGCCGTACCTGCCTGGATTTGTAAAAAACCATACACATTTAATGACGTTAATAAACGATGTTCCCTATATGTATGAGTTGTACAGCAGATTATTGAAGCAAACCAGGTCTTGTCAAAAATTCTCAATTCTGTTAGTCCATTGGGTACTTTTCGAACTAAATTTGCCAACATTTCAAAGTCTCTCTGGTGAAGATATTAACGAACTCCTGACTAAATTACCTCAAAATCAAGCGTCTGATAAGCCTACTCACATATTTAAAGTCAACTATGATGAAACGAGTGAGGAAGAAAAATTATTTAAGGCAAGAACCGGTTATTACCCGACAAAGCATACCTTTTTTGGTTGCGCAACTGATAATTTATTTGAAATACTAAGCGGAGGCTTTAAGGAGTATAGGGACAGTGGTAATAATGGAATACCATTCAATAGTGAGTGTACACGTGTAAAGAATGATACTCCCAGAACACCATGTTGCGATAATAATTCAACCATGGGTGAATCCTTTAAGGCTGTCGCATTATGTGAATTTATAGAAAGAAAGGAATACATTCATAGCAGGTCGCAGGACAAAGACTCTTATATACATATACATATTCCAGATATGATTCGCATCCGTTATGTCTTTTTTTATTGTGAAAATGTGAAAGAGATCGTAGAAGAGCTCGACCCTATAGAAGAAAATGTGATTGATAAATTTTGGAAAAGTAGTTACTTCTTACCAGTGACTGGGTGTGCTATAGCGGTTTCAGTGCTTGCATTCATATACAGAGAAGATATCAAGAAGGTCCTGTATTCAATTTCTGACGTACAAATGAAGAATGTAAAAGCTCTTGTGTCGCGCGTTTGTACTCCTTCCGACTCGCATTTTTAAACACTTTTTGGAAATAAATTTTTATTGATGTGATTGGTTTTTTGATAGTGGGACAAGTAATAAATAATATATTGTTGATTGAACTGGTAATTTTTTTTCTTTTATCAAATTAATAGTGTTGTATTCCCATTGAAATGCACATAAATTTTTTTTTTTGAGTCCTGGTGGTTACCTTGAGTAGAATCATCATTTTTTTTCAGACCGATTTGATTCTTGAGATTTTAACTTAATTAGTTCTAAAGAATATAGAGTGCTATATAGTTTTTGTAACTTATGTCACAATAACCATACTGCTTCCTGAAGTTGACTTTTTTCATTTAAAAGATTTATTTGCTTTGCTAATATTTGTTGTGATGAATTCTACATGGACCTATGTATGTGAAAGATATTCCTACTCAAAGGCCTCTTCCGTTACTTATAGATTCGAACCCTGTGTTTCAATGTAATATCCGTATCATATTCGCAAATATCGTACTATCTGCTGCGTGTTCAAATGATAATGATACCTCGTCTGCATTCTTTTTAAAGAACGCAGGCTTAAGTCGTTCCATTAAAATATTATGGTCTTTAGCTCGATGCATATAATGAAAACGCAGTCTATCTGCTATCTGCTGCATGTTCAAATGATAATGATACCTCGTCTGCATTATTTTTAAAGAACGCAGGCTTAAGTCGTTCCATTAAAATATTATGGTCTAAAGCTCGATGCATATAATGAAAACGCAGTCGCTTATTCTTTTTTTCACTTCATATGATCTCATATAAGGTGTTTTTAGTGGGTTATTCACATAATATGCTCGAGGAATCACATGTGGGCATGTATTTATGTGCTTGAAAATAAACATCGATTTCTTACCGTAATAAACTATTACGAACGAATTTGTTTTATATTATATATACTCAAAACTAAATAAGAATTGATCTTAGTGTTGTTAGTACCATAAAGCATCGACGTTGCCGATGTATGTAAATTAGTTTTGTATCTGAATCCAAACCCTAAATCCAAGGTTGCAACCATGATATTACTGATGGTAATAATTTGAATTATGTCTGTTGTTAATTACACATTAATGACGCATTAATAAAGCAACCACAGCACTTTTCTATGCAATTTAAAGCTGGAAGTAAGGTATTGCATGAATTTGTTTCGTGTCAATATCAAAGCTCGAAACAACCCATTCTCAAACTGAACTCCTTGATCTGCAGTAATTTTGTGCAGCGCACTAAATCTAGAGTTTCATATAAAGGAAAAACACATTGCCACAGTGTATCGACATATCTTTAACTGACATAATACATCAATGTGAGCGAACCACAATGCTGGATCCTAACCCAAAGCGCGTTCAAAATGTCAACTGAGTCCAACCAGGAAGTGAGTGATTCTACACTATTTTAGAAAACGTTCAACTTTTCACCTTGTAGCTTCTCAGTACTTTCATTTTAATCTGTCATTGACGACTCTTGTAGCTTTTGTTTCGTTTAGGGATGCTTCTTTGCCACTCATCATAAGTTGCTTGTTGTTGTACCTTTGTGTTGCAGGAACAGAGGGAAAAAGGCATGGTCTTAAGATACTTTTTTATTCCCGTCAAGTTCGCTATTATTATCTGTTTATACCTATAGCATTAATAAAAGTTATTTGTCTATTCAATAATATTTATTATTGTTTATCAAGTTGAATAAAAATAACACAACGAACATAAACCACCATATCCTTGCAACTAAATTTGTTAACTGTCAAACTCAAATCCAGTGTTGCCAAATGATTTTTTCATTTTCTAGTACTGCAGTTTTCTACTACGAAACAAGCTTCGAAAAGTATGAATTTGCAGTTATTTAGTGCCAAATTTTGCGCAAAATTCGTGACCTACTTTCATGTCTGTGAACTGCTAAGGGCTACGTCTCAGGCACGGCAAAATCAGCTCTTTCGGGCTAAGACGAAAATGCAAGTTATGTAGACTGTCACATCAGTATTGCCAATTTCGTATTTTTACAACGTTTTGGTACTTTTTGATTTTGCTTAAATTTAAAAGAAAATATAGATATGCTCACTTTCAATTTGCCACCAAAAATAACCAGCAAAAAAAAAACTCATAGAGGCTATAATAATATTATTTTATTATTATATTATTTTATAATAATTGTTAATTTTATAATAATTGTTAGATTAACTAATTCGCTACTATTTGCCAAATCATATAAATGGTATTCTATTTAAATTCAACAGATCGTGCAAAAAAAAAACAAAAACTGTTTACTGTTCATTTTACATTTGACAAAACCTTAGTTCAGTTAGCCGTAACTTTTGAGGGCGTTATCATAGAAGTATGTATCAAAAAATATAAATATTTTTGAATACAAGTGTATTAGGAGACACAAAGTTTCAAACAATTTTCTTTTTACTAGACCAAGAAATATTCTGTTACAAATATTTTGACGATCTTTTTTTCCTAAGAACAGCAGTTCACCGCACCTAACGATATACCTTCAGTTCACATTAAATTTAAATCTGCGATATCATTAATTGAATTACTTGAGGATATAGACTGAGAAAAAGTTTGGCACTATATTTCACGAATCCTGTTGTTTTTATTTTTAGCCTCATCTTGAAGAGCTAACTGTCAAAGACAACATGGTCTATTATAAATAATCATGTAGTAATTCAAATATAGACAAATTTAAAGAGAAAAACATTTGACATTTGAGTTTATTACCACTATTAACTCAAGACCCTAACAAAGATATAATATAATGACAAAACATATTTATTGAGAAATTAAATTGTGACCTCACATCCAATCTCAACATTTTCAAACTTTAACTAAATATCAAAACATAGTATGTTTTGATTTTATTTATCTAACGTTAATATACTTGTCAAATAGTTTTATTTTATATTCTATAAAAAAAATTTCTATTCGAAATAGATAACGTTCATTCCATCCCACTTTTTGGATCAATAAATTATATTTTATATTCATGTGGAGTTCACATGTTTCACATGTAGATTAAATTTTATTAGTGGTCCTTATATTTTGATACTCATTATACGAAAATGGCTAAGGCAGGAAAAAAGGTTTCTGACCAGATATCGGAAGCAGCTCAGGTCGCGGATGTGATTGGCACTCCCATACAATTTTCACAGAAATGCAAGAGAATTATAGAAGCAATAATAAGTGACTTGAATGTGTGTGATATGAAATGGAGTTTATTCGTAACCGCGGTACAGAACAGTGACAATTATAAAAGAATGTTGCCATACCTGCCTGGATTTGTAAAAAACCATACACATTTAATGACGTTAATAAACGATGTTCCCTATATGTATGAGTTGTACAGCAGATTATTGAAGCAAACCAGGTCTTGTCAAAAATTCTCAATTCTGTTAGTCCATTGGGTACTTTTCGAACTAAATTTGCCAACATTTCAAAGTCTCTCTGGTGAAGATATTAACGAACTCCTGACTAAATTACCTCAAAATCATGCGTCTGATAAGCCTACTCACATATTCAAAGTCAACTATGATGAAACGAGTGAGGAAGAAAAATTATTTAAGGCAAGAACCGGTTATTACCCGACAAAGCATACCTTTTTTGGTTGCGCAACTGATAATTTATTTGAAATACTAAGTGGAGGCTTTAAGGAGTATAGGGACAGTGGTAATAATGGAATACCATTCAATAGTGAGTGTACACGTGTAAAGAATGATACTCCCAGAACACCATGTTCCGACAATAATTCAACCATGGGTGAATCCTTTAAGGCTGTCGCATTATGTGAATTTATAGAAAGAAAGGAATACATTCATAGCAGGTCGCAGGACAAAGACTCTTATATACACATACATATTCCAGATATGATTCGCATCCGCTATGTCTTTTTTTATTGTGAAAATGTGAAAGAGATCGTAGAAGAGCTCGACCCTATAGAAGAAAATGTGATTGATAAATTTTGGAAAAGTAGTTACTTCTTACCAGTGACTGGGTGTGCTATAGCGGTTTCAGTGCTTGCGTTCATATACAGAGAAGATATCAAGAAGGTCCTGTATTCAATTTCTGACGTACAAATGAAGAATATAAAAGCTCTTGTGTCGCGCGTTTGTACTCCTTCCGACTCTCATTTTTAAACACTTTTTGGAAATAAATTTTTATTGATGTGATTGGTTTTTTAATAGTGGGACAAGTAATAAATAATATTTTGTTGATTGAACTGATAATTTTTTTTCTTTTATCAAATTAATAGTGTTGTATTCACATTGAAATGCACATAAATTTTTTTTTTTGAGTCCTGGTGGTTACCTTGAGTAGAATCATCATTTTTTTTCAGACCGATTTGATTCTTGAGATTTTAACTTAATTAGTTCTAAAGAATATAAAGTGCTATATAGTTTTTGTAACTTATGTCACAATAACCATACTGCTTCCTGAAGTTGACTTTTTTCATTTAAAAGATTTATTTGCTTTGCTAATATTTGTTGTGATGAATTCTACATGGACCTATGTATGTGAAAGATATTCACACTCAAAGGTCTCTTCCGTTACTTATAGATTCGAATTCTATGCTTTAATATAACATCTAGAAATATTATTTGTTTTATTGTATTTAAAAATTAATTAAAAAACAAAATACCATATTATTTAATTAGATATTCAAGTGCGTTTATCAGGTGTACGCATGATCTATTCTTGTAGTATTAATATTGGTCTGCTTTTAGAAGTCACTCTACAACTGAATGGTTTCATCTTTTATTATATTAGCTAAGTTAATTAATCACTATTTTTTATCATTTTTTAACTTACAATCATGTAGAGTTGTCCATATACATTTTATTTCTTTCTTTTTATTTCTTCAGGTATTTGGTTTAATTTTACATCGGATACCAAAACATTTCATTAGTTATAGTCTAGTACTTACCTATTGAATATTACCGGCTAAGAATTCATTTTTTTATTATATACTAAATCAGTGTTAACCACAGTAGAATATTATATATTGTGATAATATTTCTCTCAGGGAAATGAAATTGTTTATGTAAATGAATATCAATGATTTTGGTACAGATCTGCAGAGATCCGTATGATGTGTCAAAGAAGAACATTTCTAACCGCTTTAATAAATTTAAAGCAATTTATTAATTGAAATATTTCTAGCTGTAGCAATAGTTCAATATAGTATTCAATAATTCTGCATAAATAAAAGCCATCATTAAGCCAATTATAAGAACAGGTAATGGGTAATAACATTGATTGTGTGGTGGTCAAAATGCTGCAATCAGAAAATTTTAATTAGATAAAATTTAGATAATAACAGAATTAGTAAGGGTGAGCTATGCATGCGCTTGCTAGATAGAGAATTTTTTAGAATTATTATACGCCTTATTGAAAAATCTATATCGGGTACTTTAATAACAGCCAAGTGTTATAATTGAGTAGTCAGCAAATTTAGAATACAATAGGCCAATATAATAGGCTTGATAAAATGATCTATAGTGACGTAATATACGATCTGTTGCAGAACACCACCTGGCAGCAGAATTCTGAACAAAGCAGTGGTTTAAAGGTTATTGCATGGACCCATTAGGCAAGAAATGGAAAGTTTGGGAAATTAAAATCGATATTAAGGACTAAAAGCACGCAATAGACACATTTCGTGAAACATTATTAGTCCACCAAAGATTATAAACTAATGAGGAAAAGATATCGCTTGTATTCATAAGGTAGTTACATTCATCATCTTTCGTTTTTTTGCAAATATTTTCAAATTGACTTTATATACATACAATAGTAATAATTTCATATTAAGGATTTAGTTATATATTTTTAATACCAGGAGTACGATTCAAGCTCATATTAATATTACTTAATAACCGATACCGCTTTGACTATAGCTTAATTCAATACAATATCTTTATATTTTTATTGAAACTATATTTGGTCTCTAATTAATCCTTTATAAAAAATTAGTTTCCGTTAGTTTCATCCACAGCTGTTAACAGTAATAATCCGTAAATATTATTGCTTTTATTTTATTTTTCACTACTATTAGCGTAATATTTGTTTCTGTTTATTTATAAAAGTAAATTTCTTTTGTATTTTAATTTAATTGTATGAATTAATTAAGAAAAAATTATATTTTGATTTTTATTTAAATGTTTGCATCAATGACATTAATTGCCTTTATTGGAATTTTGCTAACGAAATATTATATCTATATACTATATGTTTAAATATAATAATAAAATATAATTCATTATATTATGTGAGTTTCATTATTTTTGAATTGTATTTCATTAAAACATTAATATATATTTAGTGCACAAGTCCACACTTTTAATGTCTGACTTAATATTTGTTAAGAGTTATTTTATTTTATTATATTTAATTTTATTTTATTTAATTTTATTTAATTTTATTTTATTTTATTTTATTTTATTTTATTTTATTTTATTTTATTTTATTTATTCTTATTTTTTATTTTATTTATTTTATTTTATTTATTTATTTATTTATTTTTATTTTTTTATTTATCTTTATTTTTTATTTATTTTTATTTTTTATTAATTTTTATTTTTTTATTTATTTTAATTTTTTATTTATTTTTTCTTTTTTATTGTTTTTATTTTTTATTTGTTACTTTATTTTTTTTTTCTTTTTTATTGTTTTTATTTTTTTTTTATTGTTTTTATTTTTTATTTATTTATTTATTTTATTTATTTCTTTATTTTATTTATTTTATTTATTTCTTTTTATTTATTTCTTTATTTTATTTATTTCTTTGTTTTATTTATTTCTTTATTTTATTTATTTATTTATTTTATTTATTTAATTTATTTTATTTATTTATTTATTTTATTTATTTTTATTTTATTTTATTTTATTTTATTTTATTTTATTTTATTTTATTTTATTTTATTTTATTTTATTTATTTATTTTATTTTATTTTATTTTATTTTATTTTATTTTATTTTATTCTATTTTATTTTATTTTATTTGGACTTATTTTATTTCAAGTTTTTTGTTACATCGTTTCACATCATTTTATTTCCCTTTTTTTTATTTATTATTCTATTTAATCATTTATTTTGTTTTATTTATTTTTTATTTATTGTATTATTTACTTTCATTTATATAAACTCTTATTTTTTGTTTTATTTTAATTTATTTAAATTAATTAATTTCATTTCTTTTATTTTATTCAAAACAATTTAAAAATAAATTGTCGGTCTTATTTTATATTATTTCATTTATATTATTATACAAATTAATATAATAATTTTACTTCAGTTCTTTTCGGTTAAATTTATTTAACGTTATTAATTTGATTTTTTTTTTATTATAACATTTTATTCAATTTTTTTTAATTTTTTTTTGTCTTATTTCATTTATAATCCCATATTATTTACTTTTATTTTATTTCATTTTGTTTATTTTATTTCATATTATTTTAATTTAAACTTCTATATTAAAATTGAAATTATTTTAAAAAATTAAATAACCTTAATTCTTTTGGTAATTTGGTTGCCAAGGTTGTTTTATATTTTATTTATTTTATTTTAATTTTCTTTATTTATTTATTTTATTTTAAAATATTTATTTTATTTTAAAATATTTATTTAATTTTAAAATATATATTTTGTTTTAAAATATTTATTTTACTTATTTAATATTTTAATTATCTGTAATGATAATTATTTATTTAAATTTATTTATTTCGTTTTATTGTATCTACAATTCTACGTTATTTTCCTTATATTATACGGATATTGTATTATACTATATATGTTATATATTATTTTATTTCACACATCATTTATTTTAACAATTTATTTTATATTATTCTATTTTATTCATTAAAATATTATTTTCTTTTGTTTTATATATATTTATATATAATAATTTGTTCTTAAATGAATTGTTAATCTATTTCATAAATTATTTCATACAAATTTATTTTTATACAAATTTATTATTATATATAAAAATTATATTCTTCTTTATTTTTCAATAAAATATTTCAATAATTTATTTGTTTCCATATTTTTCTTTATTCTTACTAAAGGAAGAAATGAAGTATTAGCCTTTTTAAAAATTAAGTTTCATCCGATATTTTATTTTATATAGTTTATTTTATTTATTAACTAGAAAAAAAAGTAAACTAAAAAAATATGGTAAATAAAATTATTATATTTTTATTTTATTTTTATTTGTTAATTTCAATTTATTTATTTTAGTTCACTTATTTTATTTATTAATTTTAACTAACTAATTAATTTCAATCGTACTACAATAGTTTTTTTTTATTTCAATTACTTCATTTTATCTGTTATATTATTTTGTTAGCCTCTTCTTAAAGTTTTATAATATTGTGAAATATCTTATATAAAAAATTTTATTTAAATTAAAAAAAAAACATCATCAACATATAATCATTTGTTTCAACATTAAGTGTTTTTTCTTGAATAGTTTTTTATATGTAAATTTAAAACGCATATTTAATATATATATCTGATATATATCGACTTGAACTAATTTTTTATTAAATGTAATTAAATATTATTTAAAAAAATATTTAAAAACATTGTATATAATATTTTGTAATGCAAATTTTGTTATGTGTCTTTTCTCATTTAATAAAAATACATTTATGTATATATTATTTATAATGATCATTATTGTAATTACAATTCCGAACAGAATCATATGTTGCTTAATATCAATCTATTATTCCCAAACATCATTGCTTATGGAAACTCTTCAGTAACTATTCTGATATATAGTAAATATATACATATATATTTCAAACGAACAATTTACAATTTTTCATAAGTCTGTTAAAAATACGCTCTGGTAATAAATAATCTCGATACCACAGCCAATGCTAAGCTTGATATAATAGTTCAAATTAGTACACTTTCAGAAGTAAACTGATTCAGTGTAGGTTTCCTATTATTCTAAAAAGAATGTTTTAAATTGTAAAAAATCAATCTAAACCAATTACTATTTACCTACACCTAAAACTATAACTAAGAATCAGTTGTGTGTCTTATTTCTGGATGAAGTTTTATATTAATATTTCTCATTATACTCTCCCCTCGCTCTTCCCCTCTCTCCCCTGATTACTGGAGTGAAATTTTCTTTTCACAAAGCTGTGGAAATCTTCTCCATTCATTCCTAAGAGGTGTTTTAGTGGGTTCAAGTCTCACACTGTG